AGGTCTCGCTATGGGTCTGGATGCATCTCACTGTGATGCCCATCCTCTCCCCCAGCCAAAACAAGGCTGAAGCTGGCCTGGGCAGCCCGAAAACCTCAGCCCTGCACATGGCTGGCTTTAAAAGAGAAGGAAAAAAATTCACCTGTCAAGAAAGCAAGAGAAATCAGCCCATCATCTTCGGCTGGGCCAGCTATGTACACAGGTTTAAATGGTCATTAATGCATCCCCTCCTGCTTGGAATCATATCTGGGTTAATGTCCTCGCCGGCGCGCTCCGTGATGGACATCTCCATTAGGAGCAATTGAAAAAGCGACAAGAACTGTCTGGGGAAAAAAAAAGAGAAATTGGCTTTTGGGTTGGGGAGAGGTGGAAATTTCATATAAATCTGCTTATTTGCTTTGTTGCTGGTGAGGAAATGGAAGCGGCAGCTCCTGATCTGAGTGTGTGTGGAGAAGGGATTGGGAAACGGGAGCTAAAAAAGCCCAAACCACAACAGTTTCGGGGTTTTGCTGGGGGGGAACAAGCACCTTTTTTTCTCCAGCAACCCCAAATCTTTCTCCCCACAGCTCCCCTTGGAGCTGCCGCATCTTTGCCCCATGGAGGGGACCTTTCCTCCAGCCGTTCATCCCTGGGGAGCAGAAGTAAAGCCCAATTCTTCCAGATGCCCCCTGAACCCCTTTGAAACAGTCCCAGCAGCTCCCAGACTTTCCAGTTGGCCTCACTCATCTTGGAGGAAGGAACTGGAAAGCTGGAGGGTGCTTGCCGCGGCTGTGCCTCAGTTTCCCTCCCTGTGGAAAAGACGGGGAGGAAAAGGGGACACGTGGACACTTTGAATTGACCCAGAGGGAAAAGGATGTAGCATCCATCCTGTCCTTTCGCCCACACCCCCTCTCTGGGTGCTGAGCACCCTCAGCCGACCTTATCTCATCTCATCATCCCATCCCATCCCTTCCCATCTAATCCCAGGGAACCACTTCTGTGCGCAGGGATGGGCTGAGCCTGACCATAGACATGGTGTCACCCCTGGAGAGAAGGAACCAAGCCAACCCCTGTCTTTGATGCCCCCCAGGCTCCCCCCACAACAGCCCTGCCCCTCATTAAGAAGGGGGGGAATAAAATAACGGATGATGAGGAGCTGGGAAGGATGGTTTAACCCCCTCGCAGTGTCCGTCTACGGGAGGGGTGGCTCATCCCCAGGTCCTATGGCAAGAGAGGGATGGCTTATAGGCAGATGGGCTGTGTGGAGCGAACTGGTGCAAACTGGTCCCCAGCAGCATCCGACACAGCCCTGAAGATGCAGAGGTCAAGCACGAGCAATTGCTGGACCGAGGTGTTTTGTCACTGCGGGGAAGGGTAAGTCTCCGGTGCAAAAAGCCATGAATTTGTGGCTCCTGTTCCCTGCACTGGGAGCAGGCGGGGGACCCAGAGAAAGCCACCCCCTCCCCAAAACCGACAGCACCCCACAAAGAGGCCTTTTGCAAGCAAAACACTCGTCCCCTTTAAACCATTTAGCAGGGTTAGCTCCCCGCTGGTACAAGGCTGATTATCAATATGTTCTCATTTATCCTGCAAAAGCCGCCTGATGCCGCGAAGCCACACGTCCACCCGTGCCGCGGCATCTAAACCCAGCCCAGAATAGCATCAACCCCAAATCGGCTCACGCTCATTGACTAACCTGGTTAATCCTACAGAGAAAGAAAAAAAAAAAACCAACCCAGGAGGTCGGGGAATTTCTGCTGCAAGCCAAAAGCCGGCTTCATTTTGATAAAAGCAATTTATACTCTGCTAAATACCCAGAAGCATCCGATGAGGCCGGCAGAAAGAGGTTTGAAACAGCCAGAAGGATGAGCTGGGGTTTGCCGGGCGGGATGCTGCGGGCAGCCAGGACAATGTGGCTCCGTCACGGACCAGACAGATGCAGAAATCACTCTATTCAGGTTAAGAAAGGCAAGATTTGCAGAGAGAGGGGTGGGGATAGCTAAATAACTGAGCCAGTGGGGGAAAACATATAATCCAGAGCAAGAAAATGAAGTTTCAGGTACGGAGCCTGTGTTTCAGCAGCCAACTTCTGGCAAGGAGACGGGTCACAGGCATCCCAGACCTGGGATAACCCTTCTACCAGCTGAGAGCTCCCGCTTCGGTGCTGTGTTTGTCTAGATGCTGAACTGCCCTCAACGACGGCGAATCACTCCAAAATGTGGCCAGCACCTCATTATCCATGCTGCAGAGCCCACCGGCTCTTGGGGCTTTGCAACCCGTCTGCCTCTTCTCGTGCTGGAGGAAAGCACCATCACGACCTTCTCCACCCACAAACCCCATCCATGCCATCCTGCTCCTTCCCTTCCATCCCGCCCCGGCTGCGGGTACTCCCCCATGGCACGCGGGCTTCTCGCCGCTGCGGCCCCGGGGAGATGAAGGCAGCTATTTCTCCGTCGCTGCACAAATGCAAGTCAATCGCTTGAACATTTAGATGCCTCTCAGGGCTGGAGAAAAACCTGCTGCTAAGATGTTTTTCATCTCCCCCTACCCTGAGTCCCCAGCTCAGGCTTCGCTGCCTCCTCTCCAGGCACGATGATGTCTCTCCCTTTGCATCTGCCAACGCCGAGAGGCTGCACGGGGATGGGACAGCAAGCACAGACATAAAGACAACCCAAAACAACCCTGGAGAGTCTCATCTCAGGGCCAGGGCCGCCAGGAGAGGAGCAGCATCCATCTCAGGGATCGGATGAGAGAGGACCAGCAGCATCCTCCCCTCCCGCCCAGCGCAGAGGGAATTTGCTTCCGCGGCAAAAAAAGAGCCACCAAACACCAGCTCCATGTTCATGCACGGGGTCCCACCACCATCTCCAGTGGGTTCCACCTTCCCACCCTCCTGGTGAAACCAAGAGGCAGCGTTGTCTGTGGAAAAGCAACCTCTTGAGGCCAGTACAGGAGCTGAAGCTTTGCCCAGGGAAGGGCAATTCCCCGGGGACTCGTTCCCCCAGGTTGGGGTGACACCCCCCACGATGGAGCCGCTGCCCACCCCGCTGCTCGTTCCTCCTCACCAGCATCACAGGGGAAAAAAAAAAAACCACCCTAAAAGCAAATCCTGCTGCATGTAAAGGAAAGAGAAGGAGGAGAAAGTGAAGCAGTGAGGCTCGGGAAGCATAATCTTGTTAAAAATCTCAGCAGGGACGTGGTGTAATTAATCCTAACAAATTCATCGTGGAACAATCCCTCGGTCGGTTCAGGAGCTGGCACCTATGGCATCGTCACGAGGAGGTAGCGGGTACCTCTGGGTACCTTACGGCAAGTGAAGCAGGATGAATCCTCCCCTTTCTGCTGCTGCTGGGGCTGCCGTCACTGTCGAAAAGGCGGCTGCTTGCAAAGAAGAAGGGGTTTTGCCAGGTTATCGGGTGGCAAAAGGGGACAGGGACCTCGCGGGCTCCCGGGTACCCAAACCAGCCCGCTAAGATGAGACGGGGAGCGGGATGGAGATGCTCGGGCAGGCACGGCCAGCTCTCCTCCTCCGCAATGATAGTTAGGAAAACAAGGCTGAGTTCTTCCCAGATTTCAGCTACTGGGTGAAATGAATCGAGTAAAAGAATACACGTCAATTTGCTCTGAATTTTTGCAGGGATCGCCTTTTGTCCCTCATTTTGCAGAAGTGCCATCGCCAGCTAAGCCAGCGCTGACGTGACTGCACTGCTCAGCCTTCCCCTCTCCCCTCACCCTCACCGCAAGCAATGAATTCCCTCCGCAAGACAATTTTTGCCCTAACGAATGTCCCATCCATCTGAAATAAGAAGCATTAAAAATCTTTCCTGTTTCAGCTGAAGAACAATGTTTGGCTTAAAATACATAGGAATAAAGGTGCTTCGATGTCTCACGAAGATGGAGAGGGACTTCTATGCTTTGTCATCACGCTCTGCCTTTTAAGATGTCCCAGGCCAACAAAATAATAACGAAACACCCTCAACTCTGCCAGCTCTTCCTTTCCAGAGCCTGGGAACCACTACTTTTAGCATCCCGGTCGGCCCTGGGTCGGGATGCTGGGTTTTGGGTACCACCGGCATCCCAACGCTCTCACACTGCCCTTCCCAGCACGGGAGGGCTTTCCTCCCCGGAGGCTTTCCCAGCTTTCCTCTCCTCCTCCCCACCTCATCTTATCTCCTAAACGAAGAATGTCAGGTAGCATTAGCTCAGCCTTCCCCTGATCCCTGCCCAGGGAGCATCCCTGGCAAAAAAAAAATCGCTCATGTCAGCAGAAGTGTCTGGAGTGATAAAAGCCGTTCAGTGGCGACGGTGGCTCCATATGACCAGCCACTGGACGCTCCCAAACTTCTTAGGATCTTGAATATATCGGCAGATTTTCTGCTCCACCTGCCAGCCTGGCTGAGGATGAATAAATTCCTCATGCTAGCTGGAGTCTCTTGCTTCTCCTGCTTTAACCCTCATGGAGATTTATGGCCCTTCAGTGGCTTTCAGCTGTCTGGGGAGATGACAAAGTCCAACCCTTCCTTGCTCCACAGCAAGGTGCACGGTGGCTGCTTGCCTCAGTTTCCCCATCTGTAAAAAAAAAAGAAAGGGTGATAATTCTTAGCAGTTTGGGATCTATTTATCTATTCCCCACATCCTTGGTGCTGGCATGACCTGCCCGACCACAAAAAAAAAGCAGGAGGGCTCTGCGAGATGCTGCCCAGCATCACGTAGGATGGGGTACCCAAGTGAGGACAAGCCAGGGGGTTGGGACATGGGGAGCACGTGGAGCTCCTCTCCGAGATGAACATCTCCCCCTCTGAAGCAACAGTCACAGTTCAGTGCATCATCACGCTCCGTTTCAGGAGCAATATTCCTCCTCATGCTTTTTTATTTTGTCATGAACTGGTTCGGTGCTAGGGACGATCAGACCGTCCGGCTCTTTGCAATGCGAAGGAGGAGGGCTTCTCCCTTTTTCTCCCCCCTTTTTTTTCCCTTTTTTTTCCTTTTTTTTTTTTCCTTTCCCCACTCCTGCCACTCACCGTCAGGATGTCGTTCCTGCTCCTGTTCTCCCGCAGGACCTGCTCCCGCACCACCAAGGCCACGAGCACCTGGGAATTTCGGCAGGGCTTCTGCATCAGGAAAACCTGGGGGAGCAGATGGGAGAGGGGCACAGAGGGAGTTAACATCAGGGGAAGCCTGCAGGCAAAATCTCCAAACCCGGATAACCAGACACTCAAATATGACGAGCTAAACTCCCTGATAAGCTACAGAATAAATAAAGCAGCAACCCAAATTCCTTGATGTTCCTTCTCAGAAGACCCCAAATCCATCCCCTGAGTTTCGGGTGAGGGTCTTACAGACCTGGGACAGACCGCAACGGTCGGAGGGACAGACACAGCCCATGCACACGGGTAGGTTTGGGGGTTCCACATTTTGGTTTTGATGTTTTCCTTCAAAAAAAAGCAATTTACAGTTCAGGGGCCTCCTGAGCCACGGATGCCTCTGAAGAGGTGATATCACATCAGCCGGAGGATAATGAGAACAAACGCTTGCCGCACAGGCGAGATGGGCGAGCGTGGAGAAAGAGTCTGTGCAAATATTAATTGAGATAATCAAAGCTACCGGGGGAGCGGGGCTGAGGGATGAGCTGCAAGAGAGACACCTCTCTCCTTCCCATGAACCAGGAGTTGTGGATGGATGGGGCTGGCTGGAGGGATGCAGGACACTCGGGGTGCCTGGGCAGACGGATGCGGGACGCTCGGGGTGCCTGGGCAGATGGATGCAGGACGCTCGGGGTGCCTGGGCAGATGGATGCGGGACACTCGGGGTGCCTGGGCAGACGGATGCAGGACGCTCGGGGTGCCTGGGCAGATGGATGCGGGACGCTCGGGGTGCCTGGGCAGACGGATGGAGGACGCTCGGGGTGCCTGGGCAGATGGATGCAGGACGCTCGGGGTGCCTGGGCAGACGGATGCGGGACGCTCGGGGTGCCTGGGCAGATGGATGCAGGACGCTCGGGGTGCCTGGGGAGACGTATGCCGGACACGAGTAGTGGGTGATGGATGGGGCTGGCTGGAGGGATGCAGGACGCTCGGGGTGCCTGGGCAGATGGATGGAGGACGCTCGGGGTGCCTGGGCAGACGGATGCGGGACGCTCGGGGTGCCTGGGCAGATCCAGGACAGGTAGGGGCGACCAAGAATGGGATCTTTACACACACTCACCTCCCACAGCCTCCAGACATCGTTGAAGGACTTGAACACTCCCTGGAAAGTGAAGCAAAAGCAGGGGACCAGTGAGTGAATAACTTGCAGGCCTTTTCCTTCTGAAAGATGAGAAAAGCAAGCCCCGAGGCAGAGATGATTTTAAGGGCAAACAGGAGCAGTTGTGAGTCATTGGGATGGGAGGTAAAAGCCAACCTGGCCAGAGAAAATCAGGCTGTTAAACCTGGAGGAGAGGGAACATTTTCCACCCAAGCAGCATCAGCAGGACATGAGAAGGGCTGGCCCATGGAAGGACAGCTCGGGAGAGCTCAACAGCTGCAGCTTCAGCTCCTTCTTCATGCAACTCACAGATTAAAAGAGATAAATTCAGAAGAGCAAGTGCAAAGGGCTAAGATCTTCCAGAGTCTCACCACGGAGCCATCTCAGGAGAGCCAAGATGCATAACCTCTGCTCCGTGGCCCTGACCCATCTCCTCAGCATATTTAGCAGGTTTAGGTGATGCCAATCACTGTCCAAATATTTACTCTCCTTTGCTGGCATCCTCTCTACATGATGCTGCTGGATCTATGGGGGTGTTTTCTGCTGGATCTGTGGAGGTGCTGAGGAGGCTTGGGACTCACCCAGGTGTTTTGCAAAGGTGGGATCCATAAATGCAGCCGAGGTCTTCAGCATGATGAAGCTCTTCTGCACGCCTATGTTCATCACACAGCTGTGCTCCTGGGGGACACGGAAAGCAGGAACCCAGGGCAGGGAAAACTCCCGTGGCCCAGCTTGTCCATAGCCACAAAGCCCAAAGCCCTGATAATAGAGGATTTGACCCCTTTACTACAATTCCGTCCCCTTCAGGGATCAACACTGCCTGGGCAAGTTGGATGAGGGCCACCCCAATGGCCAGTGCTCATGGAGAGGTGGCCGGGAGGAGGGACCGTGCCTGGTGGGGGGCAGAGGAGAGCTGAAGGCTGTAGGTGGCTTTTTCCCCCGGGGTGGGAGGACATCAGGCCAGGAGCAATTATGGACTTTCACCACCTGGACTGTTTGATCCAAGGAAGAAGCACCCAGAAACTCATGGTTTTCTGGAGGAAGACAATAGATCTCATGTTCCCTCTCGACCAGGAGGTGGAAGAGCAGGAGCATCTCACAAAAGCCTTGTTGGTACTCTGCCAAGAAAGAGGTCATCCAGACATGCTCATTATACTGGAGGGCAGAGATGAGATCAGCACTGCCAGATGCCAGTGGGAAAGGTCCTCCCTGGAAAAGCCCCTCAGGGCCACGTGGGACCTGCTGCCCCCCTGCCCGCTCGCCAGCCTCTGCGTTGCACACGTAGTTCAGCAGAAGGATCTTCTCCAGCTGCTTCTTGTCCACCATGCTTCGGTCCTCATCTCATGTGCAGCCTCTGCAGGTCCAAGCCTGGAGGGAGAGACATCCACCCACGTTGGACATTTGGAGCAGGATGTTCATGCCAGGCTGCTTCACACCATCTCATCCTGCGCACATAAATGCCTTTGGGAAAAAACTTTACGGGCAAAACAAGCTTGAGACAGGGCAAAGCTGATTTCATTACCTGGAGGACTCAAGAGGGTTCCAAGAGAGCTCTCCTACCCTGATTTTGACCACAGATTTCCTCCTGGTCCAAGAGTCCCACCGTCCCTGCTGCCCCAAGTTTTGCCTGAACGCTTGCCTACATCTACAAGAAGTTTTAGCTCTGAGCAATGCGTGTAACCCCCACCAGCTCTCTAAGCAGTTCACTTCATGCAGAAAGTTGGAGAGTGATTTCTTCTTCACTCAGTCATGGAAAAAAAAGGGAGCAAGGAGATGTATCTGGCTGAAGGCGTGACATTTTTCTAAGGTCTTCTCCAGCTGGATGCAGCATCTTTCATTTCTAAAGCAATGGCTTTCTCACAGCAAGGCACTTGGAAAAGACCCCCAAACCTTACCTTCTTGCTTCAGCTGGGTTGATTTATGCAGGTTACATTGATTTGTAACATAAATTTTGCAAGATCATTTAATATTCCTTTTGTTGTACAACTTGGAGAAGCCTAAACGGGAATCTGAATATAATAACACTCTTCACTGAAGTAAGCTCCTTTCATCCACAAAAAAAATGGGCCCGGAGGTTGTCTCCCGGCTCCCAGCTTTTCTCTAATGATATCTCTATCTCCTTTCTATATATAATTCCCTCTCTCCGGGTCACTCGACCCATCCCTGCAAAGCCGATGGCTCCGGGCGATGCTGTAGCAGGTGCCAGATCTAGCAGTCAAACGCTGCAGCTCGCGGTGAGAAAAGAGGTAGAAAAATGCCATAAATTGGAGCGCCTGTGGGGATTTTAAGGTGTTCAGAAACACAATGACATGTGCTGGGGCTGGGCCAGCCAGGGGGTAGCACAGGTGGCTGCTGGTGGGTTGCCATCCCCCACCCTGCCACCACCATGGGGCAAAGACACCCATCGTGGTATCTCAACTGGGTAAAAATCCAGTATTGATAGCCCCGGTCCTGCTGCAGCTGATGGAGAGGAGGGAGGATTTCATTGCAGTCTTTCTTCCCAATCCCAGCACACAATTTCAAAGGCAGCTTAAGGTGATGCAGGACCTTCGTATGGTCTTCGGTGGCGTTGACCCCATCCCTCCTGCAAGGACTTGTTGCCAGCTGGATTAGGGAGCTGATCAGGCTTGCGGCTGGCTCCGTGCACGTCTACGGGGTTAGTTATCCTGCAGATGGTTGTAGACTGAAACTCAAGTCACTGTAACCCCGCCGGGGACCCTACGCTCCCCTCCCTGCTGCCATCGGCACTTACCGATGAAGCTGCAGACGTAGGAGAAACCCCTGTGCTGGGTCACCAGCAACAGCTGGATCTTGTCGTACATCTTGCACAGCCCTTCCTAATTCTGCCTGCGAGGAGGCTGAAAAACTACCCCAGGGTGTGGACCAAAATGGGATTTCTTATTGATTTCTTCCCGGTTTCAGACCCAGAGGGGTGTGCAGGATGGGGGAATGGGCTGGCAGACAGACATATCTCCAAGTGCTGTCGACAACGAGCGTCTCATCTTGGGAACCGCCCTGGAAGATATTTCCACACCTCTGGCTGTGCGGTGGATACCAGGCCCTGGGGATGACAACGCAGCACCTCGGGCACTCCATCCGTGTCCCCAGGGGTGGCTTTGGGGCCATCATCTGCTCTCGTGGCCTGACAGACCCTCCTGAAGGTGGCAATGTCCCAAACCGTGCCACTTGGAGAAGCAGTTTCAGGGTTTCCTGCTAAAGCAGCCCTAGTTTACAAGTTCTTTTAAACCCAAACAGCTCAGTAGAAGAGTTTTCAGCCCAGATTTGCCCATTCCCAGATGCGCTGGGGCTCCCCGGTGTCAGGAGAAGGAAGGGGGCTCCCGGGAAGCTGCAGGGGCACGGACGGCGGCTGCACCCCCTCGCACAGGGGGGATGCTTGGCACTTTGCAAGATCAACCCCATGTCGTGGCCCCTTTTGGACAACACAACTCCGTTTCCAAAGAGGCAGGAGCATCCTTTCCTCCACCTCCCCATCCCCTGGGTCCCGGAGCTGTAGTTCTCTACACCAGCTGGACAGGGTCTAAGAAGTCACCCTGTCAAAAAGCACCGTCCACAGCCCCCATGCCACCAGCAAGCCAGCCCTGACCGCCCCAGATGCTTTCCAGACACTGCCTTTAAGCCCAGACAGGAAAATTTCTCACTACCAGCCCAACAAGGGGGAAGCAGACTGTTTTCACAGCTCTCTGCAAGTGTGACAAGGTGTCTGGGTTTGTCTCGGAGCTCTCCCAGCTGCTTTCAGGGGAATGAAAAGCTGTTTTTAGAGGCTTGAAAAAACGGAGGGGATTAAAAAAAAAAAAAAAAAGAGAAAAAAAAGAAGGTGTTTCACTGTAAGAATCAATTCTCCCTCACTGGGCAAAGCTGACTAATGTGTAAACTGCGAGAAAAGAATAAAAAGAAGCCAGCGAGCGAGAAATGTCACATGAGGATAAGCACAGAGCATTGCTAGGCAAAGGGATGCTGGTTCCTCAAGGACTTATCTATTCTCCTAGAAAAACGGGGAGGAAAAAGAAAACTTTCTGGGGGTGGTTTCCCCTTCAGATGCCACCCAGGTGAGGTTGGGGACCCCTGGAGCCACCCTCTCTGCCGCTGAGCCTGCTCAAGAAGATGGGCATCTTCTTGGCTCTCTACAAGCAAGAGGAGAGTGGGGCCAGCCAGGCAAGGGTAGCAAAAGCTCCCCTGGGTTAACACCACCCTAGAGCCCATAAACCACATCAGCAACCTGCTTGGCTCCTGTTGACCGCGTACCCCGACTTCCTCGGTGGGAAAACACAGCCCCGTGCCTACATCGCTCCATTTAATTCCAGTCCAAGCCCACTTTTAGCGGAGATTAAAAGGCAAGAACAGCGTGGGTTAGCATTGCTAATTAGAAACGACCAGAGCAGAGGAATTAAGGGGATGAAAACCTGGAGAAGAAATGGTATTGGAATCTGAAATTTCTGCATCCAGCAGAAGAAACACGTAATACCGTGACTCCTGGGGTCCAAAGGCAGGTCCTGGAGGTAGGGCTGTGCAGGCAGCGGGGCGCAGGAACACCACCGATGCTGCTGCCCGGCTCTTTGAAGAGAGGGGTAGCAGGGAAATTCATTTTGTTTTTTAAACCCAGCAGCAAACCGAAGGGAAACGAGAGTGAATTTGTACTTCTTGTGCTTCTGCTCCCTCCTTACAAAAGGGTGGGCTTCAGCAGAAGTTTGGCCATCCTGGGAGCAAACAGACTGTGTCCCCATCGCTGGCACCCGCGTGGCAGTTTTGCCACCTTGGGGCTGTGGGACTGGAGAAACATGGTGCAGAAAACCCAGGCTGGTTCTGGGTGAGCCAGGTCAATCATAGAATTGTTTATGTTGGAAAAGATCTTTAACATCATCAAGTCTAACTGTTAACCCAGCACTGCCAAGTCCACCACTAAAACTTGTCCCGAAGTGCCTCATCTACACGTCTTTTAAATACCTCCAGGGATGGTGACTCAACCGCTTCCCTGGGCAGCCTGTTCCAAGGCTTGACAACCCTTTCAATGAAGAAATTTTTCCTAATATCCAATCTAAACCTCCCCTGGTGCAACTTGAGACCATTTCCTCTCATCCTACCGCTGGTTACTTGGCAGAAGAGACCAACCCCCACCTCACAACAACCTCCTTTCAGGTAGTTGTAGAGCGCGATGAGGTCTCCCCTTCGCCTCCTCTTCTCCAGGCTAAACAGCCCCAGTTCCCTCAGTTTGCTTCCCTCCTCCTGCTGGCCACACTAGTTCTGATAGAGGCCAGGATGCCGTTGGCCTTCTTGGCCACCTGGGCACACTGCCGGCTCATGTTCAGCCGGCTGTCAACCAGCACCCCCAGGTCCTTTTCCTCTGGGCAGCTTTCCAGCCACTCTTCCCCAAGCCTGTAGCGCTGCATGGGGTTGTTGTGGCCGAAGTGCAGGTCAAGGTGTATTCCCAAACCAGGAAACCAAAACTGGAACATGCCCAAGGTCCTGAGCGATGCCAGCTGGGCCAGTGCTTATCAAGGCACAAGTCAGAGATGCCTGACCTTTCAGATCCTGTTTCCAAAACCCCTTTATGGCTTGTTTCAATCACCCTGTGTACATATAGTTGGGTTTTCATCTCCCAAAGAAATCCCCGGGGCTGGAAATCGCATCTGGTGGGGTGTTATGAAGAGGTATGGTGTAGGCTTGCCCAGTATTTACTCCTCTCCAAGTGGAGTAAAAGACAGGGATCAGGAGGTCTGCCCAGACCTGGGGAGTCCCATGTACCAGCAGGGAGAAGAGGAAGGGTCTGAGCTGAGAGATGTCGGTTTGGGAGGAAGCACTTGCCATCTCCCAGCCCTGCAGAGATGCTCATGCATCACCCACTTAAAAGAGGAGAAGACGGGAGGGGCTCACGTGCCTGCGGGGCAAAGATGTGCTGATGGACGCTGTGAGGTCACAGGGACAGGAGTTCACTGAGATATGAGGTCACGTGGCATTCTCAGCCAGCATCTCCTCTCCAACCCAAATCGGAGCCCCCCAGAAAGGAGCTAAAGGTGCCCGAGTCGTTTAGCATCTCTTGGGTTTGCTGATGACCCATTTACAATGGCTTTGGTAGATCTCAGTCTACATCCCATGTATAATGTGATTACAAGGCTGTGTAATTGCTGCATAATTGTCCTTCTTCCTGAGGCTGGTGCACCCTGGGGTTCCAGCCTCTCAATCTTAATTAAAAAGAATAAATCTTAATCAATCTCAATCATAATTTCAGAGCTGGGGGTGGGGGGGGGCAGGGGGAGGGTCCCTCAGCACACAAC